ATTTCGGGGTCCCCCTGTCACAGCAGCTGGCACGTGGAGGACTTCCCTCCGCCCGCGCCCGCCGCGGCGCTGGGGTCCAGGTCGGGGGGCAGCGTCCCCGGGGCCCCCCAGACGTTGAGCTCCTCGAAGACGCCGGTCTCGATCAGCTCCTCCTGCCAGGGGATGGGCACGGTGCCCGAGGCGAAGGCGTCGCACAGCGCCGCGTCGCCCGCGTCCAGCTCCACGCCCTTCACCGTGGAGAAGGCCCCCACGTCGCCCAGGTCCTTGGCGTAGACGCGCCGGGGGTCCGGCACGAACGGGGGGGGCACCAGGCCTTGGGGTGGGGTGGGGGGGGGACACCCCGTTGGTTTTGGGGTTGGCGCGGAGGCGCTCGATAGCCCCAGTGCAGACCAGTTACCAGGGGAACCCCAAGGAACATCTCAAGAACCACCAGGAACTCCCCAAAACTCATCCCAGGGCTCTCAAAAACCTCCCAGTATAGCCCAGTATGGTCCAGTATCTCCCAGTTACCAGGGGAACCCCAAGGAACATCTCAGGGCTTCCAAGGACATCCCAAGAACCACCAGGAACTCCCTAAAATTAATCCCAGGCCTCCCAGAAACCTCCCAGTATGGTCCAGTTACCAGGAGAACCCCAAGGAACATCTGAGGGCTTCCAAGAACATCCCAAGAACCACCAGGAACTCCGCAAAATTCATCCCATGGTTCTCAGAAACCTCCCAGTATAGCCCAGTATGGTCCAGTATCTCCCAGTAAGCACAAGAGCGCCAAGGAACATCTGTGAACTTCCAGAAACCTCTCAAGAACCACCAGGAACTCCCCAAAATTCATTGCAGGGCTCCCAGCACTCAGTGGAAACTGCTGTTGGACCTTCAGCATTCATTGGAGACCCCAACACCCACTGGAGCCCCCAAAACCCATCAGAGACCCCAACTCTTGACCACCCAACACTCAATGGAGACACCACCATGAACCTTCAAAACCCACTGGAGACCCCAACACCCATTGGAGACCCCAACTCCTGACCACCCAACACTCCATGGAGACACCACCATGAGCACCCAAAACCCCCTGGAGACCTCAAAACCCATTGGAGACCCCAAAACCCATTGCAGACTGACCCAACTCCTGACCACCCACCCAATGGAGACACCACCACGAGCACCCAAAACCCACTGAGCACCCAAAACCCACTGAGCACCCACCCAACGCTCAATGGAGACACCACCATGAACATTCAAAACCCATTGGAGACCCCAACACCCATTGCAGACCCCAACTCTTGACCACCCACCCAATGGAGACACCACCACGACTACCCAAAACCCCCTGGAGACCCCAACTCTTGACCACCCAATGTCCTTTGAGGGTCCCAACTCTTGACCACCCAACACTCAATGGAGACACGACCATGAACTTTCAAAACCCATTGGAGACCCCAACACCCATCGGAGACCCCGACTCATGACCACCCACCCAATGGAGACACCACCATGACCACCCAACCCCCTTTGGAGACCCCAAAACTCCCTGGAGACCCCAACTCTTGACCACCACCCAACACTCCATGGAGACACCACCACGACCACCCAAAACCCCCTGGAGATCTCAGCTCCTGAGCACCCACCGCCCCATGGTGCCCCACCTCCACCACCACCCCCTGGAGCCCCATCTCCTGCCCCTTGACCACCCTCTCCAGGGTTACCGGCCTCGAGGCGCCCCCAGTTGATGCTCCTGAAGAAGGGGTGGGCCTTCAGCTGCGCGCAGTCGTTGTCGCGGAAGCCCAGGCGGGCCTGGGGGTCCTTGGCCAGGAGCCCCTCGCAGGCCTCGCGCGCCGCCGCGCTGAACTTCTCCGAGTAGGTCACCGGGTCGTTCAGGATGCGCCGCGTCACCTCCTTGTTCTCCACCTGTGGGGACAACGGGGAGAAAACACGGCGGGGAGGTCCTGGGGGTCCCGGTTTTTGGAGGTTTTGGGGGGTTCTGAAGGTCCTCAGGTGGTTTCTTGGGGGTTTGGGGGGTTCTTGGAGGTTTTAGGGGGTTTCTGAAGGTCCTCAGGTGGTTTCTTGGAGGCTCTTGGGGTGTTCTTGGGGGTTTGGGGGGTTCTTGGAGGTTTTGGGGGGTTCTGAAGGTCCTTGGTGGGTTTCTTGGAGGTTCTTGGGGGGTTCTTGGGGGTTTTGGGGATTTCTGATGCTCCTTGGGTGGTTCTTGGGGGGTTTCTTGGAGATTCTTGTGGGATTCTTGGGGGTTTGGGGGGTTCTTGGAGGTTTTAGAGAGTTTCTGAAGGTCCTCAGGGGGTTCTTGGAGGTTTTGGGGGGTTTCTGAAGGATCTGGGGGTTTCTTGGAGGCTTTGAGGGCTTTTCTAAGGATCTTGGGGGGATCTTTGGGGGGTTTATTGGAAATTTTGGAGTTTCTGAAGGACCTGGGGGATTTCTTGGAGGTTCTTGAGGGTTTTCTGAGGGACCTGGGAGGTTCTTGGAGGTTCTTGGGGTTTTCTGAAGGTCCTGTGAGGTTTCTGGGGTCCCTGAGCTGAATTTTGGGCAGTTCCTGGTGGCCCTTGGGAGTTTCTGGGAGGTTTTGGAATCCCTCAGAGGTTCCTGGGGGTTCCTGTGGTTCCTGGGCTGTACTGGTCTGTACTGGTCTGTACTGGGGGGCTCTGGGGGTGGGGTCACCTTCTCCCCCCGCCGGCGGAAGGGGCCTTTGGCCTCCAGCATCTCGTAGACCGTCACCCCCAGCGTGAAGTAATCGACCGACCAATCATAGTCCTCGTTCTTCAGCAGCTCGGGGGCCATGAACCCTGCGGGGACACCGAGGGGACATCAAGGGGACATCGAGGGGGGACAGGGGACACCAAGGGGACAGGGACGTCGAGGGGACACCGAGGGGCCCAGGTGACACAGGAGGGACCAGAGGTGACACAGGAGGGACCAGAGGTGACACAGGTATCTGGGGGGGCTTCCCATGTCCTCACTGTACCGAAGGTTCTCCCCAGTGTCCCCCTGTCCCACCAGTGTCCCCAGTGTCCCCAGTGTCCCCCCAGTGTCACCCAGTGTCCCCCCAGTGTCCCCGGTGTCCCCTGTCCCCACCTGGGGTCCCGGCGTAGCCGCGGGTTTTGCTTTCTCCATCCTTGAGCTCCACGGCCAAGCCCATGTCGGACAGACGGACGTGGCCTGGGCACCGGTGAGCAATAGTGACCACCGGGGACCACCAGTGACCACTGGTGACCACTGGTGACCACCAATGACCAGCGGTGACCACCAGTGACCAGCAGTGACCACCAATGACCAGCAGTGACCACCAATGACCAACAGTGACCAACAGTGACCACCAGTGACCACCAGTGACCACTGGTGACCACCAAAGACCACCAATGACCACCGGTGACCAACAGTGACCACCGGTGACCAACAGTGACCAACAGTGACCACCAGTGACCACCAATGTCCCCATGTCCCCCTCATTTCCCACATCCCCCAATGTCCCAAATGTCCCAACATCCCCAAAATCTCCAATGTCCCCAACATCTCCAATGTCCCCAACATCTGCAATATCCCATCCTCAATGTCCAACTGTCCCTAATGTCCCCAATATCCGAATGTCCCCAACATCTCCAGTGTCCCCAATGTCTAAATGTCCCAACATCTCCCATATCCCAATGTCCCCAGTGTCCCCATCTCCAATGTCCCCAATGTCCCTGATGTCCCACCAGTGTCCCCAACATCTTCAACATCTCCAATATCCCGATGTCCCCAACCTCCCTAATGTCCAAATGTCCCCAATGTCCCCAATGTCCATTGTCTCCAACATCTCCAATGTTCCCACTATACCAATGTCCTCAATGTTCCCAATGTCCCCAACATCTCCAACATCTCCAATGTTCTCAATGTCCCCAGTGTCCCTTTATCCTCCCCATGTTCCCAATGTCCCCACTGTCCCCATGTCCCCAGTGTCCCTTTATCCTCCCCATGTTCCCAATGTCCCCACTGTCCCCATGTCCCCAGTGTCCCTTTATCCTCCCAATGTTCCCAATGTCCCCACTGTCCCCATGTCCCCAGTGTCCCTTTATCCTCCCAATGTTCCCAATGTCCCCACTGTCCCCATGTCCCCCCAGCGTTCCCGTGTCCCCACCGGCATCGTCCAGCAGGACGTTCTCGGGTTTGAGGTCGCGGTAGACGATGCGGTGCTGGTGGAGGTGCTCCAGCCCCAGCAGGATC